TGGACCAGGATGTCCCCCTTGTCTCACAACATTGCCCTGGAGCCACTGATTCCTGCTCTCAGTGTTCGCACTAAAGCCTCACCTACTTTGGTTGCTCCAGGCCTGGGGTGACAGTGCAGCCCACTGTGATGTGAAGCACATGCTGAAGCCACTCTTGAAGGAAGCAACAGCAAATCTCATCTTCAGCCAGCACTTTTCAGGGTCACTTCTTTAATGACTGAGCAGTACTGAGAGCTGCAGGGAGACAAAGGAGGCTATAAACCAGGCCAATCTGCCCTCCTCTCAGGCTATCACCAATGGTCTCACTTACTGCCAGTGAAGCATTATAACCCAGGGACAGCCTGTGCTCCACATATTATCCCCTTTCTTGTTTCCTGAGAAGCTTTGAACAAAATTAAGGGGAAAAAATAAAGCCACAATGAAGAAGAAATTATGCTTAAGGAAGAGAGAACTGGGAAAAGGTGCAGTTCTCTCTGAAACCTCACCCAAGTTTCAGTGATCAGCATTTCTTGAGCCAGACATGGTGTCTCCATCTAATAGCCCTTGATGGCTTTTTCTTCAAGGTATTCCTTTTTGAACTCTTGCAAACCTCAATATCCTGCAGTGGAGACTTCCTCCTCTCAGTTCTGCACTGTGGAAAGAAACCAGCTCCCCCTGCTTCCTTATAACAGGACACCCAGGAGCTTAACTGGGTGAAAGACAGTTCCTCCTTGCCCTCTCACATCTGCCCTCTCAAGGCTCAATATACCTACCCTGTTCACGGTGTAGAAACCATCCCAGACCTTTAAAAATCCTTGGTACTCTTTGGCTGTGGGGAGACCCTTGCTGTGCAGAGCATCTGAGACATGGGCACATACTGACTGCAGATAAACTGCAGCATTTCCATTTTGTCCCTTTCCTAGACATTCCAAAGCCCCATCTCAGACAGGACAGGGGTTATTCCATGCCTTGACACCCCGAGAGCTGCAGCCAGCAGCCAGGGGTCTGTGAAATAGGGCAGCCCTGCTGCAGCTGGCATGTACTTGCACAGCTTCCTCTGGGCGTCCTGCTGGGGCATGGTGTGGCCAACCCTCACTCTTCAGCCAGAAGTGGTGCTTCCCACCTTGCACCATCAGCCTGGGTCTGAGCCCAAGCCCAGTGCAAATCCCAGATGTAGGATTTTGTGTGTAGGAGTACTCCTTACATCCCTACCTGTGTGTTCCTTACCTGCTGATAGCAGGAAGGTGGGCAGTTGGAGAAAGAAGAGCACCAGCTCAGGCAACTGCAGCTGTTAGCTGCTGAAGGGTTGACATTTTGTCATGGGCTTTGGTATGTGCTGCATTTAGTCTTTATGGTTGAGTGTCTGCCTTGAGCCTGGAACCAGCAGAGAAATCCCAATGTTGAAGCAAAGGGGAGGAGCACTCCATGAAAATTTGATGGGAGCGAGAGACATAAATAGACAGGGTTTGTATTCCTCCCTGGAAAAACACTGCATAAATCCTTCTAACAAGATTCCAAAAGCCTTATGCAGGACAGGCACTTTGGCTTTATTTCCTGATTCACAGCAGCTTTGCTCTTTGCCAGATCAAACTGCACCACACAGAGCTTCACACTGACTCAGCTTTTAGCCCCATGGAAAACACTGCTGCTGCAGTACTGTCCAAAATCAGGCACCAGGGGGCTGGGGCTGCATGCAGAGCATCTTGCTTAATCTCATGAATACCAGTCCCTACAAAAATAGAAACAATTGCCATCTCATAGAGGAGCTTGCTGTATCAAGTTCCTAGTGCTCGCAGCAACCAAGTTAAATTAGTATTATCTTCGTGGCTGGCAAATTGTTTCTTTCCTGTAATGTTAAATAAATAAGGGACTTCTTTTGTGTTTTGGTGAGGTAGGAGGTTTGGATTATCTTCTTACCTTTATGACATACTGTGCCCACTTAATTTTTTGCATTGATGACATGGAAAATGTCTTTGAAGCCAAAAAATGCAGTGTGTTTTCCATACATAGCAAGTATGTTGGCAGAGAGACTGGTTCAGCTAAGCAAGCAGCCCACATTATTTAAAACAATCCTAAAGTCTCCAGAGCTTAACATCTGGGACAACTCTGCCACTGCCATGTCAAACTCACTGGGATGAGACTGGAAAACAAGTGGAGGAGAGAGCCCTGTAGCCATGACTCTGACACTGCCTCAATTTCTCATAAGAAGTATTCAAATGGGCTTTCTGCTTTAGAGGCTAATTCCCCATCCCAGGGCAGGGTTTTAATTTCCAAGACGTAGGCTTTCTTTCATTTAACTGCCAGATTTTCAATTTAATCAACTTCTAATGAATAAATGCAAATGATTTTGCCTACACTACTGCTCACTATATTGTCACGGGTGGCTGTTGGTAAGATGCCCCAACAGCTCTCCCAGGAAAACCTGAGGGAAGATTTTTAAATCTCCTGTAATCTGTCTTTTCCAGTGGGATGCCCAGAAGCTACCAAGGTCCTGATTTTTAAAGTATGCGAGGCTTTTCTCAGAGACTGGCAGTCTCCCAGGAGGTGCCCAAATGCATGGGGAAGTGCTGACATCCACACTCTAGGGCACAGCCACCTTTCTGGAAGCAGTCTGTCTCTGCATTTTTCCTTCAGAGCAATGTAGGAGTGTCAGCATTGAACATTTGTTTGTTCCTTTCAGGGACTGTGCTGCTAAATCCTGGCACATAAAGCACTTTGCTCATTTTCTCCTTTCAGGGTGGCACCATTTTCTACCCTGTCCAGTTCATTCTGGTTTAACCCCTTTTCCTACAAGCACAGGGTGTTTGATACTGGTCAGTCAGCCTAAGTCCCTTTCTTAAAACCTTTTAAACCCACAGGTCAACAGCCAGCCACAAGCCAGAGTTAGACCCAAGCTCAGGGTCTCCAAAATATCCTGGTTCCAGGAAGATCAAGCCCAGCAGAGCCAGCAGACTGCCTGGCAGCACCTCACCCCATCTCTGTAGTGCTATCAAACAAAGACCTGGAGCATCAAGGCAATGGGCTACTGGCTCTGCTTTCCACGGGACCACTTGCTTTTCTCTTGCCCTGAGCACCCCTGGGATGTGCTCTTACCTTAGCAAAGGAAGAGCTTTGCAGGGAACAGTAGGATTGAGACCTTCAGCACGCCTCTCCTGCAGTCAGTGGATGCTGCCAGTCCCTTTGGAAAGCCCTGGGGTTGGCTGCAGCAATGTATCTACTGCAAACTAGAGCTCTGGGCAGCCACAGATTGCAGCACCTAGCACAAATACATGGCCCAGCTACATTTCTTTTCTGGGAAACAAAGATGTGTGAGCCTTAGGACTATTACTATCAGGCTGTAGCTTCATAGGGGTGTAGCTGTGCTGATCCAGCTAAATATGTTCCCTGTGGCCTTGTGGCTTTTTGGCAAGGGGCAGATGACACCACCACAAGCAAACAGCACTTCCTGAGGTGGCTGGGAGGGAGATGGAGATAGCACATGGGATGCTGTCATACAGGAGATGCTGGCTGTGATTGTCATTGCATCCCTCATGGCTGGGGTGAGAATCTGTCCTGAGTAGGCTCTGGTATGGATGTACCAGGATAAAGAGAGGGCAGCCCAAAATTTCAGCATGTGTGAGCTGTCCACACATCTAATGTATGCCTCACCACAGTCTACAGCTTCCTTACATGTGGAAGAGGAGGAGCTGGCACTGATCTCTTCTCTGTGGTGACCAATGGACAGAATCTGAGGGAACAGTATCTGAGGGGAGGTTTAGGTTGGATATCAGGAAAAGGTTCTTCATCCACAGGGTGGCTGGGCACTGGAACGGGCTTCCCAGTGAAGTGGTCACAGCACCAAGCCTGATGGAGCTCAGGAAGCATTTGGACAACACTCTCAGGCACAGGGTGTGATTCTGTTCCCTGCAGGGCAAGGAGATAGACTGGATAATCCTTTGTCATTGCCGTCCAACTCAGTATATTCTATGACTCTGTGATTCTATGCCAGGATATAAATTACCTTATTCAGGAAGAAAAACTACATATTTAACTTTGCACCCACCATCAGGGCCCCCATCTCAAATTAAGGCATTCCCAGATGATAAAAGCAATAAAGGAGGTAGAAAATAATTGGGAAAAGCTCAAGGGCTGTAAAACCTCCCCCCTATTAGCTGCACTTGAATACAACCTGCCAGGCTTTTTGGTCTTTCAGAGATAACCCTGGGGTTACACACTCAGGAGCTCAGTCTGTTTGAGGCTGCCAGCACCTCCCAGCCTCAGTGAGAGCCCCAAAGCCAGGCAGCCTCCAGAGCAGAGCAGAGCACAGCACAGCCCAGCCCAGCAGGCATTCCAGAGGCCATGGTAAATAACTGTGCCTTATTAAAACAGCCCCAGCCTGGCAGCAAAGAGTAAAGCAGCAGGAGTGAGACTTTGGTCTTGCAGCACTACCATGAAACCAGTTGCCAGATGTTTCCTTGGGTGTATCTGCCTGCCTCTGGAGGAAGGGATGAAGCAAGATGCTCAGTCTCAGTGCAGACACTCGGGGGTTGGTGTTACCTAGCTGCTGCTGAGCCATACCAGCCCAGCAGGGCACAAACATTTCACTGATGGTACCTGAGAGACAATCAAGCACCAGCCAAGGCCTGGATCCCAGCAGGATGCCAGGGAAAACCTTCTTCACAGAGGGGTGTCTGACGTCAGCCACCCAAGAGGGACATGGGATCCCGGTGCCTCCTCTCTCCAGCTGCAGCTGAAGGTCTGGTAGGGGTCTGTGCTTACTTTGTGCTCCAGGGCTGCACAGGTACAGAGCTCACCACATTCTTCAGCAGCCCTGCTCAGCATAAATCTGGTACTTGTTTCCATCTGAGGCCTAGATATAAATTTGGAAAGTGTAGAGGCTCTTCCCAATCACTCTGCCTGACTTCAAAACATTGGCAAATAACTTATTAGTGCAGTATGGACTAGATTAAAACATTGTAATATATGGTATTTCTGTGAGTGTTGGAATTAGTGGAATTTATTAGAAGTTTAATGCACTGCCTAACAATTCAGTACTTTAAAATCATGTGAAAATTATCATTGAACATTATAGAATACAAGAAAATACTAAGTTCTGGAAAGGAATATGAGTCACATAGGGCCAGAGCTGCTAAAGAGCACAGTCACATACTCACCATTTCTATGTGATCAGCAGCCAGCACAAACTTCCTGCTCCCCATGCAATGAGGGAAGGGGATGCTCCAAACCAGGCAGGGAAAGGCCCCACTGGGTCCTGTACCACCCACCCCAGGGGAGCCTCAAGACCCTTCTGTAGATCCCCTGTTTCACTGTCTCAATCCTACCTCTGGGCAAAGCAGAGGGACTTCTCCCATCAGCTCAGCACTGGGCAGAGTTAAGCTGATTTAGTCAGAAATTCCTGAATGCTTCATTTCTGGCTTTTGGCCACACTCCTTTCCTGCACTCTGTGGAGATAGCAAAGCTTTCTACTGCTTCATTCAGCCCTTGTTTCACTTTGCTCTTGGACACCACTACATGGGGAAGAGAGAATGGAAGCAAAGCAGGCCAAGAGCAGATATATATGCTGGGATACTGTTTGCAGTTGGTTTCCCAAAAATTTGAGTTTGTGGATAGGATTGATGGCCGAGAATTTTCAGCATGTTTACATTGCATCTCCACTGGATATGAAATGGGCACTTTACTCAATTGGATCTTAGCCAGCCTTTCAGCCTCTGCCGAGCTGGAGCTCCCACATTCCTCTTGCATTTGCAAGAAGGGAAATTTGGGTTTCTGCTGCTATCCTCCAGGCCTGCCTAGAGGAAAAGTCTGCATTAGATTAAACTCTGTGGTGACAGAGGGCCTGAGGAAAGGGCTGCACAGAGGCACTTGCTTAAGGTACAGCTGCTTGTGCCTGAGGTGGATCAGCAGAGACCTCCCAGGAAATCCAGACAGCCAAGGAAAAGGAAATCTTGCAGTGCCCAGAGGGGTGACAGGCAGGCCACAGTGCTGCTTGCTGGAGGCACCTTCTGGAAGGCATCTGATCACCATGTTTGTTTGAAGCCTGGAGCTAAGACTGAACTAATAAGATATGAGCCCTGTGCACTCGAAAGAGCACCCACCACCAGCACAGGGGACTTGGCAACAATGTCCATGGAGCACAACTTTGTTGGCTACAACTGCTCAGCATGAGCACCCACTTGCTTTTTCCTCCAAGCCAAATCTAGAAAAAAAAAAAGAGAGAGAGAGTTTGAATATCCTTTTTCATAAGATGAAAGGAGGAGCAAGATAAGGCCAATGTTTACTTATAGGTTAAATAATAGTCTCCAATACTGATATGGCACAGTGGCTGGCTGCCACATTGCTTGGTGCTGGGCTTATCTAACACGCTGCTCCCAGATGCCAGTCCATGCCTGTCTCTTGCAGTCTCTAGCATGCTCAAGAAAGGAGTTTGCCTTACCTTGTGCTGGGATATCTCAGATAAGCAAATAAAAGAACTCAGGAAAGCTCAGGAGCTTCTTTTGGATGATCTTTGGTCACTGTCAGACCCGGTCACTGAAACAGAAACTGGGTCACAACCTTTGGTAAAAGCAAAACCCCATCCAGCATAGGAAAGGCAAACCATGAGGGAGCCTCCAGGCACTGCTCCATGCTTTGGAGCTAAAATCTGACTTTGATCTGCCCCTGAATTTACACCTTGCTCTGATGGCAATGTCTGGACTGGCTTTGGGTCAGACACTTCAGCCCAAATTCCAAATTGCCTGTGGACAGGACGACTATAAACAGCACCACAGAGACCTGTGAGACACGGAAATGTAGAAAAAACCATCTTTTCCCTCTCCCTGTGATGATCCCCAAACTAGGCCAACAGAATAGCAACTCATGATGAGAATGCTATGGCTGGCTGTATCTCCAACATCTCACCCAAGGAGGCAAAGACTGAGGCTGGGGAACTTGGAAGGGCAGCAGGGTGGGCTGTGCCTCATCAGAGTCCTGGGACATCCCAGAGGGAGGCCAGGGAGGGCTGTGCACCTTCTGGGGGCCTATCAAGGTGGCCAGGCTTGGAGACCTCTTAGATGACAGTGACAGCAATGTGTTTGCATTTGACACATGGGGCATGTGCCACACAATTCAAAGGGCTGTGTGGTGTGCATGGCTGGGCAGGCAGGGCCACTCTTCATCACTCAAAATTCCACGGAGCCTGCTCAAGCTCTGGGAACTGCTGGGGAAAATGACCCCCTGCTCCTGCAGCTCTGTGTAGGACAGGCCAAGGGCAGTCTCCACAATGCCTTTGAGACACAGCACATGTCACTTGCCCCATGTGAGTCTCCTTGGGAGTGAAATGTGACACTGAGTGTGCGGGGCAGGTGTCATCTCCTTGCATACCAAGCCCCACTGCCCCAGCCCATGTATCCATATGAGGCTTTCCCCAGCTGCCCTTATTCCTATTTCAGGACCACTTGCATTCCTGGCTCTTATCAGGCTTTTTCTAGACACGTGAGCCCCTGGGCTCAAATGCCACTAGCCCACATCTGGGCCCTTCCCTGTCCAGGCACTGAGCCAGCTGCACAGAAGCTGGGGTGCCAGTGTTGACAAAAGGGTAACTTTTGGATGATAATTTGGTTTTTTGCTCAGAGAATCACAGAAATCACAGACTCTTAGGCTGTGTCTTCTCATGGTCCTGTGTATTATCATTTCACCTGCCACAGGGTAGGCATCTTTGAGTTTTATGTCATTGCTGATCACCAGTGCATTGGCTGCTGGTCCCAGCGCTTCCAGTACAGCATGGTTGGAGTTACCAGAGCTTCCTGGGTTCCCCAACTAAAGCATGTAGGTGGGGAAGCATCAGGATGGCTGTCACTACTTGTCTCCACAGGTGATTTCAAGCTATTTGGAAACCCCCAAAAAACTGCCAGTTCAGCTCATGACCAGACTTACCAGAGTGGTGCTGTTAATTTTTTGGCTCCCTAGCAGCCTTGGTACTTTTAACACCAAATATTCTTGTTTGTGATTGCCTGATCACCAAAATCAGAGAATATGGCTTTCACCTGTTGAGTGTAACATTTAGAGGGTATTAAAAGACACATAGATGTGGTGCTTAGGGACATGGTGTAGTCCTGGATTTGGCACTGCTGGCTTAAGGGGTGGACTTGACAACCTTAGAGATCTTTTCCAGCCTCAACAATTCTGTGATTCTACACAGGAGCCCTCAGGTAGGGAGGAGTTGGGCTGTCTTGCTCTCTGCTCTGTATCTGATCCTCTCTCCCCATAGAGTTTTGCCTTCTGTGAAGATTTTTAGGGAGAAATTCCAATATACCCGTGACACTGAGTAAGCTTTTTTGTGAAATCTTAAGCTCAAGTGTTGTCCATCTCTCCCCTCACCCTGTCTGGGAGAGAGCTATGGCAGATACTTGAAAAGAAAGGCTGGGCAAGCCTGTAGTAGTTTCTCTTCTGATTACTTTCCCAGCCAGGTTGATTTGCAGATCAAGGATTTCCTGGAAAGGTGGGAGTGTCTTTGCAGACAACAGTGGCATTTTTGATTCTGTGAAAATATCTGGTCCCTTTTTGCATCACATCAGTTTTTAGTATCCACAAAGTCCTGTGACAGGGAGTGGCATATTTTATGTACACCTCCTTTACAAGTGGAAAAAATAAGAGTGGCCTCTTGATAGCAGCTGATGGGTTGACAGGATCCCTGATATGATCTTCATTCATGTAGAATTCACTTCATTCAGAGTGAGTAGTGAAACAAACCAGCCAAGCTTACTTAAGACTGCAGTGCAGATAGCAGATGAGCATGTTATGGGGAACATTGGTGCCCAGCAGGAGCCCATCTGGTCTGCAGCAGGAGCTAAGGCAGGCAGGAATCTCCAGAGGTGCAAGAGTCACACTGTGGGCAAAGGTCTGTGAGCCACTTCCCTTGTGCACAGCCTGCAAAGAGGCTTAATTGCTTCATGCAGAATAAGATTTCTCTGTATTAGTGAGGGATGCATGTGTTTACCTAGACTAGGATATCTTGCCGGATATTAAATGTTACATTAAACACGCTGATACATGAGTTCTCCATGTCTTGTCTGCCTCTCATCATTCTGTATTTGCTCACTGTAGTAAATAATCTTAATTTTAAGCAGTGTGGGGTTTGCCTGCTCCTGTGAGAGCATTGCTCCACTGAGAGAGGTCTGTGAACTACCACAGACTGCATCAGGGGCCTCAGTAGCCATCAATGCTTTCAGGGGGCAACAGTTTCAAACGGGGAAATATAATCACACAATCATGGATGGATCCGTGCAGAATGGTGCTCTGTGTGTCCCATCCTCACTCCTTGTGTGAGGGACACTCACAGTCAGTTCAGGATGTTTGGGCCAAGGCAAGGTTGGCTCCCAAGGATGCAGGTGTGACCCCCTCTCTGGGCCATGTACTGCCATCCCATTGTTCTGGAGCAGTGGTTTCCATCTGTCTCATCAGAGTTCCCTGTGTTGCAGAAGTGCCTGTTGGCTCTTGTCCTTTCACTGGGCACCTCTGAGAAGGTTTGGCTCTGCGTTCACTGTCTGTCTCTCACACAGAGTGGGGTACTCTTTGTTGTTTCTCCTCTGGGCTGAAGAAGCCCATCTCCCTTGGTGTCTCCTTACACGCCACATGCTCTGGTCTGGTGGCAGCCCCTGGGCTGAAGCCCGTCACCATTTATCTCACACTGGGGACACAAACTGGGCACAGTGCTCCACATACAGCCTTGGCAGTGCCTGGCAGCAAGGAACACAGCCCTGAAAATGATTTAAGAGACTCACACTTTGGAATGACATGGAGAAAGCAATTAAACCAGGAGTGCTGTGCATATTGCAACCACAATGTCTGATCATAAGACAATAACACACCCTTAAGGGAGAGTGAGATGCAAAACAAAGGAAGTCCACTCAATAAATAGGATGTGTGCTCATGCAGATAAGAAATGCTGGGGGCCAGCAGCACTGTGGTAGGCAGTGGTCAAACCTGTGACAGACTATGCACTGCAGCATCCATACCAGATGGGGACATTGCTGCCTTTGCAAAGTTGGTGTCAAATGTCCTCCCTTCCCCGAGGCAGCTGCTTCCAACCCTTTATCAAGAGATTTGTTGTAATTATATTATTCAACTTTCGATATTACAGATTGCTTTGCACTTAAGTCCTAATTTGAAATTTATGCTTTATATTTTCAATTATGAATTGTGCATTGTAATTATGTACAAGCATTTTTATTGCCATATAATAGATAAATAAGTATTTTCATATTTGGAGGTGTCAAATGGAACATATTCCCACCCCTCCATTACCCAGACTACAAGGCAGCAATAATCCAGGAGTAGTGATGAACTTGGCCCCCAGTCAATGTGAGAGCTGAGGTTGTGAGCTGCCAGTGACTCACATTGAGCCAGTTCCACATCAAAACCCCTGGGTTAACCAGGGGCCACTGGTTGCTATTTATAGCTGCTCTAGCTCACGTTTAAGCAGAGGCTTGAAAAATCTTGGAGGCGGTTGAGTGCCAGGGTAACTGTGTCCTGCACATGGTTCCCTGGACAGGAACGGTGCAAAGCCCCAGCCGTGCTGTTGCACAGGCTGGGTCAGCCCTGGCTGCCAGGGAAGCCACAAGCAGCTTGGGTTAAGCTGTTAATCAAACAGTACTTGGTTATTTAATTTGATTGAGCTGACTCTGCCTACCTCTTGGAGGACCTAAGCAAACTCCTTAATGGAGCAAACCCCACTACAGGCACAACACTAGAAGCTGTGGGACCAAGGGCTTTAAAGGCTGTTCCAAAGCTGTCAAACAGCTCAAAACCAGCTCACATCAGTCACAACCTGAGGTTCATTAGGCATTGTAAAGACTCACAAGGAGAATCCACCCAGCAGAGGGAGGGGAACCAACCAGACCTTGTAGGAGGCAGTCAGAAGACTGGACTTGAGTAATTTCAAGACTAAGCAATCATAGAGAGCTGAGAAAGCTGGCAGGGGGTTTGAGGTGAGTCATTGCTCTGTGGGTCAGCCAGCTTAGCTATACAGCCCATCTCCAGGATGTGACAGCAACTTCCTGTCTCTGGGACGTGCACTTGAGGAGATCCAAAGTGCTCTGTGAGTCTCAGATGATAAGGTTGCAGCAACCAGCCTCAGAAAACAGTATTTGGTCTTTTCTGGGTTGTTGCCTCACTGGGAGCCTGAATATCACAGAAGAGTATGTTCTGAAGTAACCCTTA